CCTAACATGATGACCGCCGGCTGCTGGTGGGTGGGCTAGGAAGATGCGATGTGAAAAGTCCTGCCGAATAAGAAAAGGGAATCTTTCTCGAGATCGACCGAAATGGCCATTAATATGACTGTTACTAATGTTATCATTATTGTCATGACCGATTATCTTGATCGACGATGCAGATGCAAGAGCTGATGGAGGGGTTGGTTCGCTCGTCGCTTGGTGGTCGTTCGTTGCTCTGCAAGGACAGCTATATCGCAGCTCTGCTAAGCGTGGCTCTCGGCAGGGATTCTTGCGGGCTTTTGCGTTTGGCAGGGGGTGTTTCCACTTTCCCTGTTCCTATAGTCCGAACATAATATAACCGAGAGTCAAACCTATCAAGGTCGTCAGTGTCGTATGTAGAGTACTCCGTAGAGATGCCTGAGAGACATGGTGGGACCCCTTGCTGGTCGTAAGGGAAGACAAAGGCCACCACCAACAGGTGTATGCACAGAGTGCTCCGTCCTCTAGCAGACAGCCACCACTACCAGCAGCAGCAGCGGCAGCGGCAGCTAATCTACCACTATGTCAGGGACGGCGTAAAGGGGAGGAGTGACGGAGTCGGCCATTGTAATTCCAGCCCAAAACATTTGGTCGAAGTATAAGTAAGGGCTGACGTGTGTTATAACACCTGGCTGCAGCAGACACACAGCACAGGAGTTCTGAATAAAAATGCCTGAAGAGCTCAGGAAAAGACACAAAAGAATGGGCAGAGCTACGGAGCGACGATCCATATATTTATAACTTCCTGATACAAGAATAGGAGGCAGAACTCTTGTTTTCTTTGAGATGTACGGAGCAGTTGGGATAATGATCCTGGATGCCAACACCTGCTCTGCACCAGGCCAGTGGAAGCCAAGAGACCACAAGGGAGATACAATGCATAGGGACCAAAGGAAGAGTGGACAGCACCAAATCGCAAGACAGCCAACAGATTGTAATTTGCTCTTTTCCCCGTTTGTCCATCTACCCACGGTATATCGGGAGTCGGAATGATGATGCAGTGGATTCCGCATTGCTGTCTGAGGGGACAGGAATAAATAAAATAATTGGTTTGGAGGGGGTGTTCGATCAGACTAGTTTCTCTCGACACTCATGCAAGAGATGGTTAGAATATTAATAGAAATTGAAGCTGTAGTTAGCTAGGTACGGAGTATAAGGTGAGAAGGAACGGTAAAAGGGAGCTGCATGAATTTTCTTTGTTTTTGTTGAACCCCTGGAGCATTAATCAAAGAGGGAGGGCCCGTTCGCTACAACTCCTCCTCTAAGCCGGGTGACTTTATATCAGACTGCATTATACCCTCCGAGAGTAAGCTCCCACCCAGACTATCATTATTAGCAGTGGTGGTGCTTGTATTGTGGTTGGTTATGCTGCTCTGGCTGTTTTGGGTTTCACCAGCTGTTGCCGAGGTAGCAGTAGCAGTAGTGTCCATGATCTCGTGAATCTTAGATGATAAGCCAGTCACTGGCCCCTGACGATGAACATTGTCGTCGGTTGCCGATATGCTTGCCCTTTGTTTTTTGAGCGGGCTACCAACATAGGCATCATTGTCGAGTAGATTCATACTTGTCTCCTTGGGCAGACTACTATGAGGTGGTGTGGAGTCGTGCCTGGTTGTTACTGGCGGGGAAAGCCTTGATCCAGGAGTGCTTGATTTTGAAGCCTTTGCGGGATCTGCGAGACCGGCTGCCGCGGACAAGGGTTCGGCAGAGTGTTGTCGTTTGAGCTAAAAAGGAGTTGCAATGCTATGTTAGCGTCCCATCATGCTATGGTGAAGTTAAGTAAAGGTCTCCATGATGCACATACCTTTATCTGCCGAACGCCTTCTGCGAGCTCACCCTGCCGCTTGGCATCATCGGGAGATAGGAGAGAGTTGCCCTCTTTCTCCTCTTCATCCTCAGCCTTACCAACAATGGAAACAGAAACACCTTCGTCATCTTCATCGTCGTCACTGTCGAGTTCGTTTCCATTGGAGCCCTTTCTTTTACCGGTCTTCTGTTCCTTTTCGCGATCTCTAAAGCCGACAAAGCCGGTAGTGCCACCCGGCTTCAGTGGTTTGATATTCGCAAAATCAGGCTGTGTAGACTTTCGACGAGCTGACTTAAGAGACTCCTTGTCTTGGGACTTGGGATCCTTTAATATCCCCATTTTCTGCAATTGGCCTGTAGCAAATCACAAGGCAGGAAAAGGGGGGGTGATGTTAGCATGAGTGATCATCCACTCCAAAATCAAAAGACGGGTAGAAAGTGCAAAGTGGTGAAACAACTTACGTTCGCCCCTATACATGAATGTAAAGACGGCATAGGGCTTATCGGTTGGATCGATTCCGGTGACCGTCTGAGTACTGATGGACTTGGGGTCTAACGACTTTGGCTTCGCAAAGCTGGTGGTATGGTCTATATCTGCCGTGCTGCCGTTTCCATTCGACTCTTGACCGCCGCCAGGGCCACCATGCAGATCCTCATCATCATCATGGGCATCAAACTGAGGAGAATACTCTCCACGCTTGATCTCGCCGGAAGCCAAGACTCGGAACAAGGCTACTTTAATCTGACCGGCCGTTTCTGGGATAGGGTCGTCATCAAAGTCCGAATCTGTGGATAGCAATTCTGCATCGTCAGATAGCTGCTCCACGGGCGACTGATCATTTGCTCCATAACGAAGAACACCTTTCTCCCGCAGAAGCTTTGGCTTCTTGTCATCCAGATCCATGCCTTCATCTGCAGCCGCATTAGCAGCGTTTTCATTGCGTTGTTGAAGCTCTCGTTTTCGCCTCCTTTTCTCCATTTTTTGACGTCTTCGTTCAATTTTCTCTGCTGCATCCTTGCCCTCGAGATCTAATCCGTTAAGCCATCGTTCTAGGCCGACTTCACGGAACAAGAATTCTCGTTCGGCAAGCCCACCGCCTTCGGACTGCGGAACGCCTACCCACCTCGAATTGACCCAAGTCTCTTCACCCCTTCTTAGTAAGGTGGCCACTTCTTCTTTCTGTCTGCCATCAAAATAGATATATGCTGCAACTGTTTCTCGCGGGGAGGCTGTCATGGGTTGATATGGGCCTATGGAAGACCCAGCAGTAGGCTGATCCGGGAGGCCTCCCACAATCTTGGGCCTCGGATAGGGGTTATCTGGCGTGGCTTTTGGCGTGGAATAAGGGACTGTCAGACCTGGTGTGAGGAGGGTGATTGATATGGCGAATGTCGACTGTTCTGGCTTCCCGGTGGCCGAGTTGGGAAGCTTCGGAGGCGGTACCGGGATGTAGCAGGCAATTCGAGAGGCACGGGAATGGCGCTGAACCGAGTATTCGGCAAGTGGCCCATTAGGCGTATGAATGCTGACTGCAAGGCCCTTAAAACAAGGCATGATTGATATAATCTAAAAAAATCCCTCCCACCCTAGATGATAACAGCCAGGGATTGGTTATGCAGGTGCCGATAGAAGATACCGCAGGAACCTGAAGGCAACTAAGAAAGAAAAAGAAAGAGAGGGAGGGAGAAGGAGAAGCCGAAAGAGAAGCCGTATAAGTTGCTTGGATGTGTGTACGTTATTAGAAAAAGGAGCGGAATGAGTCGTGGCTAAAGGCAGTCAATGTTAGTGACAGAGACCATTAAGATAAATAGCGGCCACTTCTCCCCTTACTAAACAAGCCAACTCACTGGATATTAAATAGAATAAAGCCGGTTATTGCAGTATTATGGTAAACCCAGACATCCAAATCATCTAAATGTGCGGCCGTGGTCGTTAAGGCAAGGAGACAGGAAGGTAGGTAGGGAAAGGCCAAAGAGAAGAAGAAGGTAAATAAAGAAAAACAAAAAGGACTAGCAGCAGAAAGGGTACAGGATCCAACAACGGCCAAAGCTCTGAGCGGTCAAGGAGACCTTGGCCCGGCGAAGAAGAAGATCGATGACCGCCACCGGTTCTTTTGCAGAGGATTAAAAGGGACAGGATGGCTCGGGGGTATGCGCGCGCAAGTACGGAAGACCGAATTACAGGTCACCTCCCCCCGGTCTGCGAGTTGTCCGCGTTCGCTTTTGTTCTTTTGTTCTGGACTACTGGTTTGCTGATGGCCGCCTATCTGGTATAAAAAGACAGCTCCACCGCCGATGGAAGATATACGGGACAAAAAGCGGGAACCCACAGTGCCTCAAGAGCTGCGTCCTGATCGAGGGGCGAGAGCTGCAGATGGCGTTGGGCGGAGAATGGGGAGTAAGACCTCGTACAGTAGAGTGTCGGGGCTAGCGCAGACGGAGAGACGAGGGTCGATGAACGGGGTGTGAGTCTGGTATCGAGACGGAGAGGCAGAATGAGCGAGGGCGAGGCGGAGGGAAGACGAAGAGGAGGGCGGGACAGAAGTTGAAGATGAAGTTGGCGACGATGGTCGTTATTATTTCTGACCACAACAAGAGAAAAGCCAAAACGGGACAAAGTTGGATTGGCAGGAAGGGGAGGCCACGTGATGTACACTTGGGCGGGCTGACTTTGGACGATTGGATTTGATGCTGCTGCTGACGATGATGATTATTATTATGGATTGGTATCTATCTTGTGACGGATGGCGATGATGGCAATTAAAGTGATACGTCGCTGTGTTAGTTAATGGCACGAGTCATAGCAGGAGTTATAGTAGTAGCTATCCCTAGTGCGGAGTATAGCATAGATAGAAATAACGAGAGACACAGGCGTATCATTAGAGCTGCTTCTACCTGCTGCTACTGGCTACTACCCGTAACTTTACATATACCAACCAGATACTGTCAGTAGTCTACCTACTGGGCAGAGAGATAGCATGAAAGCAAAGGAGACCAAGATGTTTCAGTCGCCAGCAACAGTTGCAGAATTAAAACAGGCAAAAAAGAGAGGCATTATCCTTAACTAGTAAAACATGACACCCTTTATCTGTATTATCTAAACAAGACAAGGTGACGAAAATGGTGCTAAGATGAGATAAGATGCAGTAAGAAACTCTTCTTCACATCTTCTCTGCTGTCGCCCCGTGGTCAGCCTGGACACTGGGGCGGGCGTCATCACTGTCGTCGTCTCGGTGAAGTTCATCGAACTTGTACAAGGGTTCGAGCTCAGCGTGCTTCTGGCGGAGGATATGTCGACGGAAGAAGTGAGGCAGGACCTTGAAGACTTGGTAGTGCATGTGAGTGGTTGTGGGGACAGCAAAGATGTAGTCGAGTTCCTCAAGGGTGCGTTGCTTTGTTTCAGGAACCCAGAGATAAATCATTATCAGGGCAAGGACGTTCAGGCCACTGTTTTTGTTTCAAAACGAGTCAGGTTTTTTGTTTCTTTTTTTCTTCATTTGGACATGGGAAAGAGGAAATGACTTACGCGTAGAAGCCAAAGGCACCAGTTGGGGTCATGGCTTGAAGAATTCGGGGGAACGAGACGGAGAGCACTGCTGCCCAGAAAAGACAGGTTGCCACAGCCCATGACATACCGACCTCTGGTTAATTAATTTGGTTAGTAATTATTGCCCTATTTATTTATTTATTTTATGGAGAAAGACATGTATAACTTACCACGATGGGACAAGGGGAACACTTCAGCAGAGTATGTGAACGGCACTGGTCCCTCACCAGGAGAGTAAAAGGCAGCGAAGAGGAAGACGAAGAAGGCAACGAGACCGAGGTGGGCCCTGTTTTCCTCCGGAATGTAGAAGCAGAAACCGGCTGCCAGGAGAGTCCATGTCATCTGTGGGAAAGTGAAGATCAACAAAGCTCGTCGACCCCAGGTATCGATGGTCCAAATGGCGGGGAACGCAAAGACGAAGTTGACAAGACCGAAACCGAATGAGGCAATGAGAGCCTCAGACTCACTGGCGCCGGCTTGTTTGAAGATAGTTGACGAGTAGAAGGCCATGATGTTGACTGGTTAACGTCTACATGTCAGCATATCAAAATATCAAATATTCAGATGGAAAGGAGGTGTGTATGCATGCATGATACGTACTTCCGCACATCTGCTGGGCAATCATGACGACAAAGGAAGCCAGAGTTGCACGTCGAACTCGGGGAATGGTGAATAGTTGGAAGAAACGGGTGATGTAGTTGCTGTCTCCGGCGAGCTCGGCCTCGATCTGGATCTGGGAGTAGATCAGGTAGAGGTCTCTAGCAGCCTGAATCTGGTGGTTTCTTAACCGCTTGAGAGAATGGAAAGCTTTGGAGATCTTGCCCTTCTTAATATACCAACGCGGCGACTCGGGACAGAGGTACACCATTGCCACGAGAGGGACAGCTGGGATGAAAGCAGAACCAACTTGCAAGCGCCATGCGATTGTTCCAACATCTTTCACAACCAGGTTAGCAGTGAATCCGAGGAAGATACCGAACGCGGTCCATCTAGTAAAGATGTTAGTCATATGCAAACTTAGGAAAGGAGCCGAAAGGGGAACGTACAGCTGCCAGCTCATGACGAGGCCACCGCGGACTATAGCTGGCGTATTTTCAGCGCAGAAGATGGGAACAGTGGAGGCCTTTGTACCCATTCCAACACCGAGGAGGAGACGGGTTGCGAGCAGTTGTTCCCATGTTTGAGCTACAGCAGAGCCGATGGGGGTCAAGACACAGAATACCGCGGAGACAAAGATGGTACCTCGACGACCGAGATACTGGTTCAGGGGGTCGGAAAGCCAGCAGCCACTATTTTAATCAGTTAGAGCAGTGCACTTGAGGAACTAGCAGCCCAAAAAAAAAAAAAAAAATAGGGTATTTCGTCTGGGTTCGGTCTTCTGCTTACAATAGAGCGGAGCCAATGTATGGGCCACTGAGAAATCATGTTAGTATGCAGGTACAGCTACACAAGCCATTTAAGGTAGCTAAGGTTTTCGGTTAACATACGAGTTGACGAGACCAACAAGCCAGGAGTTCACCTCAGCATTGGGAGCTCCCGGAGAATCATCGATACCTAGAGCTTTGGGGAATGAGAGGTTGGCACCGTTGGAACCAGTCTGATCCCATCCTCTTTTATCGTGGAATGTTAGGACTTCGTGCACACAGAACAAGGCCGGGGCGGCTAGGTCGGTTTAGCTACTCACTGCACAGCAGCTCCGATAGAGCAGAGGATGATGGTAAAGTACATCGACCATGGCTGGCGCCACTTGTGAGTGACCTCCCGGCGGATAGAGTCTCGCTCGTCGTCGGTCAGGCCCTCGACGGTCTCGAAGTTGGCGGGATCCTTTGCTATGAGGGCGCCCTTTCGCAGCAGCGGCAGAGCATCTTCGATCCCGTACTTGGTCGCAAACTCGTCCACATCACGGAGAAGCTGTCTCTTGGGGATGCCGGCCAGCGGGTTCTGCACTCTGTATTCCCACAGCTTCGTCAGTATGGACTTTCTCTTAACTCGGCGTTTTTCCAGCTTGGAGGTGTAAGTATATTATTATATGCATGGTATCTACGCACTTTGCGGATATGTTGTGCTGGAGGTCGATGCGATCTCTCTCTGCGCGCTCTTCGTCTTCAATGTCAGAGCTTCCATTGCTCAGCTTCGGCTCGACATGAGCTGTCTGAGTCTGGGGTGAGACCTGCTGCGTCTCTGGCTGTGGTGCAGCTGTCTCCTGCGTCGAGGTCGGCTGCTGCGTGTCGGTGGCAGGCTCGTTGCCACGCTCGGGTTCGGCCATTATTGTAAAGGCAGGCTTCGCTAGGGGCACGAAACTATAGCTTCAACAGCCTTGCCTGGAGAAAAAGGAGGAGATGGAGGGAAAGGCAGTGCAATGAAGAACTACACGCTGTTCGACTATCTGGCGTACCTGGTGTGCTTAAATAGTTACACCCGCTCGGGTCATCAACAACATCAACAACAGCAACAACAACAAAGACAAGCTAGAAATAGCGCAAAGGCGGACGACCAAGAGGCTTTATAAAGCAAAAAGAAAAAGCCTCTCCCGCCTCCCATTAATTTAAATATACACTCTTGCACCGCGAGACAGACTCTCCCTCGCTCCCCACTTCCCCGGGCTCCAGGTTTTTTTTTTTCTTTTGGCTATGGTGCTCTGCTCTGCCTGCTGGACCTGTCCGCAAGCTTGAGTTTTTGCCTGGATACGATGACGTCCGTTACATCACAATCCATCGCGGTTACATGGTGGTAAGTGGCTGGCGGCGCTGGTTGGCTCACAGTGTCCAAGGCCCACGGAAACGACATGCTACCACTCTGCCCTCGGCTGTTACTGCTCCGTCACGGCCTGTAAAGAAGGGAAAATTACAGGCAAAGGACAGCCTGGGTGGAGATCGCAGATGCACATCCATACTGCAAGCGTCAGGCAGGTCTGTCGGCTCCTGCTTGGCGTCTCCTGCGCGAAGCGGACGGGAACAGAGAGATACAACGGTATACGGAGTACAGGGACAGGAGGCGCAGGACCAGCGAGCAGGAGGGAGGGCGGGAAAAAGAGACAAGACACGACCTCCAGGCAGGATACGAAGGGCAAAGGCCTCCTTTCAGGTAACACTCGAGGCTGATGGATGGAGATGACGATCATCCTACGTCTTTGCGCCTTGAGGCCTTTTACCCCAGACACGCCATCTAGTTACCGCATATCGACCATCGAAGCATCCAAGCAAGCCTCCAACTCGATCGACCAGAACAAAGGGACAGGAGAGCGGCCAAAGAAAGGGTTGGGAAAGTGAGCACACCCAGACGGGCAGGAGGAAGAAGGCAAGCAGCGTCTACTAAGTTACTCTGCATCCTGCTCCACCGGCATGTAAGTAAGGGTAATACATGCCTCCACCCGGTAATATGAACAGGCATGGATAGGACGTCTCGTTTTCCGTTTTGGCAAGGCCAACTTTGACATGGAGAGCTACATAAGTAACGAACGAGCAGGCCAGCGAACAAACGAACAAATACATAGCAGAGGGAAAAGCTCTCTTTCCCTTCGACCTTGGACCCTGACCACGAACTCCGTATATAACGTCGAAGCAAGCTCAACCCTCGTCAAGCGCAAGCACTCCCGCTAGCTCCTTGGTCGTTGCTTGACTCAGCCAGTCCCGTTCTTGGTCTGTGAACCGACCAGTGCCAATGTTCTTAGCATCCAGGCTTTGGATCCTTCGGCGCGGCATTATGCCGATAACGGCGAACTCGAGTGTGAAGGCAAACGGCCTTCCACTCCCATTCCCCGTTCCCATTCCCCCCTTGTCGTATCCTAGGTTATGAGGTTAATTGCAGTATTACCGAATTAACGGGGAAATTACATCACTGATGCGGTTGTTACAGCGTAGCGAGTAACATTACATCTAAACGGAGCAACTGGAAGGATGAGGATTTGCCAAAGTGGCCAGACGACAGAAGTCTGGTGATGCGAGGCTGCGGTGGCCGTGCAAGTTGGATGGCAAAAAGATACATCCATCCATCCACATGAACGTATGATTAGGATATTACGAACATAGCTATAAGAATAGGGATGATAATAATAAGGATAAGAATAGTAATAAGGCCTATCTGCCCCATGTTCCCATCTGCAAGTTCTACCATTAATATTAAGACTACTCTTACATAACTCTGCTTGCCTCGCGAAATAACGCTCTCTAGTAATAGCTTCAAGCTTGTCACAGCGAAGCTTGGAGAACAGTGCGAGTGGTGCTTTCACTTTCATTATCACCTGACAGGATGATATCCCCATAGCACTCGTTAAACCCACAACGAAGTAAACGCCGTAAACCCTATTCTCCTCTATACTTGCCTTCCAAATCTCCAGCAAGAACGGAGCAGGTCAGGTTAGGTGATCTTCTGGCCCTTTTCATATTTAATATCATCGTCGGTGTCGTACATATGGTATCTTAACTAGTTAACCAGTCGAGCGTCGCTGAGTCAGGCTAGTTAATGAGTCAGGCTTGGCATGATCTCTTCGGCATTTAGCTGACGCTGAAGCCCGCCTGTCCTGCTTTCCTTTTCCAGATCACGTTGACCATCATATCATCACAAACCAGACTCATATCACCGTTGTTGCTACATTGCCTGAGATCCCCATCAGCCGTACTTCAATGTTATACCTGATTGAAAGACTTTTTTTTCTTTACCTTTGCGATGGCTAATTTGACGACGTCCCAACTGAGCGCGGCAATGGCTACTATGACGGCAGCCCAACTGAGCGCGGCGACGGCTGGTATGACGGCGTCACAACTGAACGCGGCGATGGTTAAGATGACAGCGTCCCAACTTAACGCGTTGCCTCCTCGTCGTCGGCGACGCGTCATACAGGCCATCAGATGTAGAATCAAGCTTACAGATGCCCAACTGCGCCTCATACTTCAAGAAATGCAGAGGTCGGCTTCCTTGGAATTAACCCAGCGACCGGATTTCGTTCGTCGGTTTGTCAAGGCAGACTCTCTTACAGATGAGGTCGCGGCCAAAGTACTGCGTGACAGTGTCCTGTCCCATATTATCATCATTCTGAGGAACAGCGATTGCAAAGGGTCAGCCGCAGCATATATATTCTGATAAGCCTCGCTTTAATACTAACTTATCTACTTGACTCTAGCCTAACGGACATAGTTGACTTTGACGATGGGGACGAGGATGGAAAGGGACAAATCATTTTCTATTGGCGTGACCATTGTCCGCAACTCCCTCCAGTCTTAGCAGACTTGCCGATAATATCTCTCCAGGAATCTAAGCATGATATTTACACTGCCTTGCCAGAAAACGATACGCTGGGAATCAGACCTGGAGATAGCTTTTTTCTGAGCCTAACCCAGTCAACCTTGACGCCGAGAACTTTGGAACCCTTGGCTTTATCATAACGCTAGATACGGGGTCAGAAACAAAACATGCCATTGGAACTGTTGGCCATGTTCTCGGTGACACAGGGAATACACTTTCTATTAATATCGATGGGAATCTCGAGGCGCTAACGACAATCAACCAGTTTGAACGCATTGGTGGAAGACCGATGGCTAGAAGCCGTTGGCGGATAGACCGCCCCGTTCTTGATGAGATCTGCCTCCTTGATATTCCCCATAACATTGCCGATGCTCCCCTGCAATGTATACTAGGGGATGTGAACTGCCACGCAATCGTTGGGCTCCCGCCAGATGCTAGGGATTACCAACATGTTAAAAGGAGTCCTTCGAGTGGAGATCCGGTCAGGCTTATGGAATGGTTACGCACAAATGGCCCCCTTATTGTGCACAAGCATGGTGCTAGCACAGGCGTTAACACAAGGTTTTTAAACGCATATTTATCGGGACACTCATGGTCTTTCGCAAGTATTACCGCGGCCTATGCTAGCTAGCTTGTTCTCGTCGTCTTCGTCCTCATCAGCCAGCTCCTCTTTGTCAACTCCAGAACAGGATGAGACTATGACCTTCTACATGTCTATAAAATGGATAGCCCCAGACGAGCCATTCTCTGCCCCAGGTGACTCTGGAAGTCTTGTCTATACCTTTTTCGACAATAGTATAGTGCCTTTAGGCATACATTACGGATCTGATGGTGATGAGAGCCAAGCTTACCTTCTCGATTCATGGTTTACAGAAATCGAGGCTATACTCAACTGCGATGGATACTTTTGTGAACTAACTGAATGCAAGCTAGGCAGTGTAACTTCCTCGGCATCTTTTTTAACCCAACTCAACCAGGCTACTATTATTGTGATGGCTAGTTATGTCTTAAATCTGAGCAGTCAGAAGGAAAATAACTTTTCTGTTCAGATTCTATAGAAGGTTCTGTTTATGACTCTATCGGTGATCGCTTGATCCAGTGTGTGTATTATAATTATCCGTCAATGTTTTTACATCATCCTGACACTAAAATCAAGTAAGCGTTTATCCTCCCCAGGGATGCATTCTCTCGTTTCTTTTCTTAGACCACCTCCCCAACTTCATCCCCGCCCTTGCCCTTTGACTACTCCTGCTAGAGAGATAGCCAATCAACACCCTACCATAATTGTTGGTGATAAGAGGAGGCAGAGATCATTGAGAATATCGCTGCAGCGGCTCCGGGTAAAATACGATAGATAAGTAGAAAGGGGGGGGAGTAGTTCGTAACTGTTGGTCCTTTGCCAGGATTCTTGTGTAAGCATCTAAAACTACAGCGATCCACTTAAGCGCCTAGTCGTCTTTGCTGGTTACAATGTTTTCCAATCTCACACATGGTCCTTGACCCGTGAAACTAGGCATCTATAGCGATGTTTGGCGAGAAACAAAGCTTCGACGTCCAAGTCCATGTAGACGGAAGTTTAGTTACTAATCACATAAACACGTGACATAACCGCCCCCCCGCCGAGAGTTTAACGAAGCACGAGAACTCAGCCGCGGAGCAGTCCCCACTCCTCGCGTGTTTATTTCAACGGGATGCATACTCCGTATTATATAACAAGTGCTCAATCCAAGGAGTCGCAGCGAACCCATTGGGAAATCCCTTGGGCTGCTAATTGAGTAGAGGTGGATATTACGATGTGGGATGACTTTCTACCCTGCTTCACAGTTATTTCGGGAGTGGACGACAACGCCTTTTGGGGAAAGCATAGGCAAGCCAGGAGCCGGATTATCTCGAAAGGAGGCTACTGTGAGAGTCTGGGTCGCTCCCACAACATTAGCTGTCCGCATGAATAAGCATGATATTACAATCAGTGATACCCTTCCAAGGTGCCTCATAGCTAGTTACCATTGGTTAAGGGTCGATCAGTCAGCGGACTCGCTAGTGAGCTAATCGAGGGGGGAGATACTCGCACTCTCGGATGACTTGGTTGATGCCCTACTGTGAGTGAGAAGCAGTAACTTACGGGAAAGGAACGGGGAGACGGGAAAGGAGGCCAGACGCGAGGAAAGGGAAACAGCGAATGTCGGGCTGATGGCTGATGCCCGTTTTCGCCCAGACGCTGAGCTGAGCCCGCGGCCCCACTTTTCTTCTTCGCCTGCAGACAAACGCGGCTTTCTCCAACGTCAAGCAAAGGAAGGAGAGTCAACAGCTTTGCAGCAGCGAGATGCATGGCCGTGATGCATGATACCGGGTTCCCAGGTGAAGAAGGTGCTCGGATCTCCCATTGGTCGCGATATAAGTACTGCTCTTTGTCTTCCTGCGAACTGTCGGCTAACGGCTCTTTCAGCAGCTATCCTGTGGCTACCCAAAACACAACACAGGTTCGCGTCGATGCAGTTTGGGATCTTCAACTCAGCCACGGTTAGACACTCCGGGTGCTGACACCCTGGAAACATAGCATCCATTTGCGTGATGCTATGCCAGGCTTATCTCCTTGAACTGGTGCAATATTCCCGCATGCCCAGGCGCACCACAATTACATATGGTTTTCACCATGAACTCGTGGTTACTGGGCGCCACTGTTGTGATTGACAGCCTGGGGACTGATTGATTTTCATGCAGCACTGGAAACAGTTATACTTTGTTCCTGGTATGAAACGATAGGCGTGGGGATAAGTATGCTCACAAAGATACCGAGGAATACCCCATTGTAGTTGGAATACCCTGTATGGTCAATTATTTGATATCCCCAACTGCCACAAGTCTTGATTTCCTGTTTTTACTATTATATAGTAAATGTATTCCGTGCAGATCCTCCATGTCACAGCTGTTTCCCTTGAACTACCTTCACACAGGTGCATTCCTGCGAATAGCTTTATATTCGGTTCTTTCATAAATTAGAAAAGAATATTACCGTATGGACAAGATAACCCTTACCTTGAAATGAAGGCTTAGATCAAATTTTCTTCAATAATTGGTAACCCAATTTGAGAACGAGCCTCAAAAAGAACCATCGGACCTGAAGCAAGACGGATTTCAACTTACCTTTCTCTTCTTCCCTAATTCCATAATATAGGAACTTCCCGGGAAAACTTCCGGTAGCAATAGATATCTATTTGCATACAACAACCCAGAAGCTTCTGCATATATCTCCTACCAGGTCCCTCCTTCATATATCTCTCAGTTCTCCCATTCGCCTGTCCTCACGTTGGTATCAGCTCAGGTGGCATATTGCTGCAAAACAACTGCTAGCTGCTCACAATCCGACTGTGAGGACAGTCTGCTGGCAGCTTAGCCTGGCCTCAGTTTCTCCTGTGTTGCTCTGCCTAGCGAGGTTGGTTAGCCCCTTCCACACATAAATACCTAGCCTGCCCCTCCTCGCCTTCTTCCAACCAACAACCTCAATATCAACAGCTTCGTTCTCAACCACAACAACCACAACAATCACCACAGCCGCTCTTCTGAAGCAAATCCTTCGTTCTCTCTTCTTCTGCTGCCACTTTTTCTTCACCATCTCTTCTCTTCTCGTGGGATATCTGCTTCTCTGTTTTCGACGCGCCAACCAACTGACGCGTAACTGTCACAGATCCTTTCTCATTTGGTACTTGCAGATACACCACAATCCTCTCTGTTAGAATACTCCTTCATCTCAATGGTTTGACGTTGTCTGTCGTCGAGAAACAGTAGCTGACCTGTGACATTTGATATCAGTTCAAAATCAGCAAGTATGGCTCCAGGACAGCCGCCACCTGGATCTCCCCGTGGGCGTCCATCGGCCCCAATGTCGCCTGGGATGATGAGTCCCCGAGGGACATTATCTACTAGGGGTAACCAGGGTCAAAACCCGGTTCACCCCAACTTTCCAGCTCCCATGATCCCGCATGGCGACCCTGCTCGAGACAACGTAAATCCGTATTCTATGGATGATGTGGTAAGTAACTGTTTCCTAACATGTCTTGATAGTGATAACATACCCTGCATACCTCGCCGTCTTGCACTTTGATATTTCCTGAGTGGTTGTATGACCATTTCAAACTCTGGCCCTCAAATATTTCTGTTGCTCAACATGTCTTCACTACCATTCCTTCACTCATGCTACATCACTGGATTTGTCGGTGAATACGGCAAGACATTGAATATTTCCATTGAATATCCCACGCACGCATTATTTTGCATTCACGGCATCGGGTCGCCACGTCGGGTCACTATGTTCGCCCAAACTTGTTGTCACTGCTTGATGCATTCACCCGCGCGGTTCCATAGCGAACGAGTGACGGGATATATTCATTATCTTTCCATATTCACCGCCCCTTCTCCCAAGTTGCATAAAAAGGCCCATTTTTCCCTTCTTCGTCCTTTTCAATTCTTCTTCCTTAATTTCTCAAGCATCATTCCACTGCAATTCTTTAGCTATTCCATCACCAGCATTCTATCACCAGCATTCTATTCTATCACCGTCCATCAAACCCTTTCGGCTTTTCTTGACAATTCTGCCCATCATGCCTTTTACTCCCATGCCAAAGGTGCCGGATATTTACCTCCGAAACTGCAATATTAACGATACACCTGCTGAGCAGTATTTTGAACCCGTGCCTCTGGCCCAGCGTCCTGGGTTCAATACAACCGGCAAAGAAATAGCCTTGTCTGCAAACTTTTACCCCATCCTTGAGTATCCAAAGAAGAACGTTTACCAATATGACGTGAGTTGAACTATGATTACCCAGTTTGTCACACTTGATACTTACATGTTCACAGGTAATGATTGGAAACGGCGCCGAGAAGCGCGTTGTTATGCAAAAGGTCTGGGACTCAAAGACTCGCAAGAGCAAACTTTCTCGTGATTTCATTTTTGATGGAAGCAAGCTTGCCTGGTAAGTGCTTTAAACCATCCTCCCGCTTAGCCTGGATACTCACTAAAATCTCATTTCTAGGTCTATGACCAAGCTCGACAAAGATGCCAACTTTGTTGTCGATCTTGATGCAGAGCAGGGACGTCCCCCGTCCAAGAACTCGAATGCTTTCCGCTTGGTTGTTAGATACACCAAGACAATTTCATTACAGACTTTGGCATCAGCAATTCGCGGAGACATTAGTCAAGACAAAGAGACAACTCAATGTCTTAGTAAGTCTTTTCCAATAGAAGTTGTAAACCGAACCATCTAACATGACTCAATAGCCTTTTTCAATCATCTGCTGCGCGAAACTCCCAGCCAGAGATTCATAGCTATCAAGTCTTCATTCTTTTCTGACAATAGCCCCCAGATGTCTGTTGGTTGTGGCGTTCATGCCTACAAAGGAATCTTTCAAGCCATACGGGTTGTTCAGGTAAGAAAAAAACACATAATATCACGATTAGATTAGTATTTACTTACCATATCTTGATAGCCTGGGTCTCTCGCTGTCAATGTGGACGTTTCAAACGCCTGCTTTTGGTCACGTAACCAATTGCTCGTATCTGCTGTCCAGGTCCTTGAACTTCGCGACCCTCAGCAGCTTATCTACAATTGCAAACCCGAGAAAGATGACTTCGGAGGCCGAAAGGGCTCCAGAAAGTTTCAGCTCTTGGATAGAATGAGAAAACTCGTTGTTAGAGCCAACTATCCAGGATGTCCATGTCCCGACAAAGAATGGACCATTAGAGAATTCCTCTTGGCCAATGCAAAGGAGTATAAACTTGAGATAAAGGACCATGCAACTGGGAAGATCAACTCCATCTCTGTTTATGACTATTTTAAGAACCGATACAACGTCACTTTGACATACTGGGAGCTTCCGTTGGTCCAGATGACTAAAAAGGACGTGGTATACCCGATGGAGGTTCTGGTAATCTACAAGTCGCAAAAATACCCCTTTAAACTCAATGACTTGCAGACATCATCAATGATTAAATTTGCAGTTACTCGGCCTGCAGAACGTCGCAAGGCAATTGAAGAATCAAAGAAGAATCTGCAGCACCCGTCTGACCCCATGCTCAATGCTTACGGCATGAAAATCGGCGATAATATGATGAAGACCAGAGCACGTCTTATGCCCAACCCTGAAATCATGTTTGGTGGAAACCAGAAAGTTAACCCAGGAACAAATGGGCGCTGGGATCTGAGAGGGAAGAAATTCTATACAAAGAATACAAAACCCCTAAAGTCTTGGGGTGTTGGTGTTTTCAAGGGCCGCAACCCAATTAATATGGCTCAGGTTGAAGCATTTTGTGATGCTCTTGTTCGGGCTTACCAAGGCCACGGTGGAGATGTTGAGAGCCGCCGCCCCCTGATCATGGAAGTTGTTGCGGACCCTGCTAAGGCAGTCTTTGAATTATTCCACGCTACGGGTAACAAATTCAACCTTCGCCCTGAACTAATGATTTTTGTCGTGGCAGATAAACAAAGCTTCCATTATCTGCGAATCAAAAAGTCGTGTGATTGCCGCTTCGGTGTCCCATCGCAGGTTTTACAGGGCCAGCAGGTGGGTAAGTGCAATGGTCAGTACATATCAAACGTACTGATGAAAATCAATGCCAAATTGGGTGGGACAACCGCGAGAGCAGTCTCAAAGCAGTGCAGTGGGCTTCCTCCATTCACTATGATTATTGGGGCAGATGTCTCCCACTCTTCCCCGGGCAGTTTCTCGCCATCTATGGCTGCGATGACCGTTTCCATGGATACATTTGGTGGCAGATACACTGCTGGATGCGAAACCAACGGAGAGCGTGTAGAACTTATTAGCCAAGCTAATATCAGATCCATCTTGTCCCCATTGATTCGTGAGTGGGTTATGACAGTTGGCAAAGGCAGCGTTCCGCAGAAGGTTTACTACTTCCGTGATGGTCTTTCGAGCGGGCAGTTCCAGGCCTGTTTGCAGCAAGAGATACCACATATCAAGGACATCTTCAGCGAGATCATGGGCAGCGACTGGCCCGGAAAGATGACCATTGTTGTGGCCTCTAAGCGTCACCATGTTCGTGCGTTCCCTGAGCCTAATGACCGCATGGCTGCCGACAAGAACGGAAACCCCCTCCCAGGCACTTTGGTTGAACGGGATGTTACTGATCCATACAATTGGGATTTCCTCATTTACTCTCACATCGCTTTGCAGGGCACCTCGCGCCCAGTACACTACCACGTTCTTGTTGATGGCATTGGACACAACCCGAATCAGCTCCAAAATATGATTTACGACCACTGCTATCAGTACATGCGGTCTACAACCTCTGTCTCGCTGTGTAAGTTGGCCCTATGGAACTGAATAACACAGACACTCTTGCTAACATTATCTTTCCCACCTTTTTTTCTAGTCCCGGCCGTCTACTACGCACATCTTGCTTCGGCTCGTGCCCGTTCGCACGAGGATGTGCCAGCCAGCTCAGGACCGCAGTCTGGACCAGGAGTCAAGCAAGGTCAGGTCCGACAAGGACCCCGTGAGTCTGATACTCCCCAACTTCTACCTATGCCAAACAACGACCGCATCGGGTTCAAAGTGTGGTACATTTAAGTGTGCATCAGCATTGTCTCTCACTTTCCCCTTTATTCTTATTCAGAGGGACGCGTGCGTCGAGTGGGCCAAAAGAAAAAACACCAACAAACAAACAAACAAACAAAAAAAAAAAAAAAAAAAATCACCAACATCAACATCACGACCAAGGCCAGGACTGAGAAGTATTTCCTTTTTTTTTTTTTTCCCTTATGACGAAGATGCTGGAGGGAGTGGGAGCATCTGTCCCCAGAGGAAGATCCCCAGGCGGCGGCTCGAGGTTGCTCGGCGCGCTGCTAGGACTCCTCTGGGAGGTTAGCTAGGTAGAATAGTTATCACAATCAATCATTCCATGATCTTCTCTTCGTTTAGCCAGCTGTCCTGGCCATGCTGTTTGCCTGTACCCCGTAGATCGACCTCCTGATCACCAACCTGCCAGCGCCAGACAGCTCGAGTGTGTGTCCCTGTGGCTCGAAAGGTGGCGCACGTCAAGCGATCATGGCAGGCTAACTAACTAATTAACTATGTGAACAACTTAACTAACTCACTTAATTAACTAGCTGCCTGCTTGTTAGTTAGCTAGATATATATTGCTTTTTCCCTCTCTTCTGGCTGTCGTTTTTCTTTGCCAAAAAGTCGAAGTCGAAGTCGAAGTCGAAGAAGCAGCAGCAGCAGCGCGAAGAACGAGGCCCCGTTGACCATCGCGACATCTTTGCCCTGAAACAAACCGCATGTCGCATAGCCATTATTATTTATTATCTATTGACTACCCCGTACTAGTTACTGCTCTCCCTCTGGCACTCCTTTCTGTCATCGCCAGCCAGCTGGTCCTTCCCGGCCAAAAATAACTAGTTAAGTAGTCTACTAGTTCTCCAACTTCCCTGCAGAAATCTCGCCCGCTGCAAGCACGCTGGTCTAGTTAGTTAAAAGCAAAGGGAAAAAAAAAAAAAAAAAAAAAAAGACCTCGGCGTCCGTCGCAGTCTCGTTTTTTTATCGCTGTCGTCGCCTGGCAGCGCTGCGTCGGGCCTGTAACTATCTAGTAGTTAGTTATATCCATCCGCCCGCAAGGAGAAAGACAGTCGACCTGGCCGTCGTCCTCTTTCTTCCCACGCTTCACTCACTCGCTCTCTCTGCCCTTCTCTTGCTTCTCTGTCTGCTTCTTCGTGAATCTGGCCGGCTGGCAATGACTGCTCGCGTGAAGAAGAGCTGTCCTCGCCCTCTGCCCCTCTAAATAGCCGACTTTTCTTCCTCCAGCTTCTTCCACTCTTTTTCCCGCCTTGCAGCAGACAGACAGTGGAATCACCACGATACCCCCCCTTTTTTTACCCTTTCATCTCTCTCTTGAAGGAATACACAAGGAAGAAAGATAACCAGAGAAGACCGGTGTCGTTTGTGCCCCCGCCAATACGGCATTTGTCTCCGTCATTCCATCATAAACCCTGGCCTCTTCATCTGGCCCGGACGGCTCCCAAAGCTGCCCGGATTTATCCCGTTTGAATATCAGCCCGGGCACCGCTGCAGCAGACAGGCCGTCGGTCTCTCCAGCGCCGTCTGGCTCGGACACCGCGAGCCTGCATAGCGTCTCCCGCAGGGCTCTTTTCTCCCGGAACCACGCCACCACTGCGAAGGTGCGTCACTTTGTTGACCAGGCGCGGACGCTGAGCAGAGCTGCGGCCGTCAGGATGGCGGAGGTTAACCTGTCGGCGTCTCTGTCCAAACGAAGTCGATCCACGGACAGCCGAGTGTCGGCCGGTCAGTGTTCGGAAGCGTCTGATACGGATGGTAAACCGGCTCATGGCAAGCTAGCGGTTCCTTCATACCTCAACCAGCCAACAAAGTGTGAGTTTAGATTTATTTATTTATTCTTCTTCTTCTTCTTCTTCTTCTTCTTGCTCACGGTGCGTAGATGTTCGAGACAAGTTTAGTGAGCTAGAGTGGATGGAGCGACATCGAAGGGCTGCCGGTGCGCTGTCTCAGGATCCTGCTCATAAATGGACACTTGACACAAGCCCACAGGTAAAAGCTCGAAACCGCTACGGTGATGTGCAAGCCTGGGAAAACTGCAGAGTCCATCTCAAGGTCCCCGCTGGGGAGTGTGATTTCATCAATGCTTCTCCCATAGTACTCAAGGACCCCGAGACAGACGGCGAGTACAAATATATTGCAAGTCAGGTGCGTATATACATAGATACGGCTTATTGCAGCTTATCATGCACGATTCATGGTTTAACACTGCGTCATAGGGCCCAAAACGAGACCGGCTTGCTGATTTCTGGAACATGATATATCACGAGGCCGGTGAAGTTGCTGTTTTGGTTATGCTCACTCAAACAGTAGAATCCGGAAAGGAGAAATGCGCCCAGTATTTCCCACAGGATATGGAGAATCCTACTTTTGAATTCTCCTCTCACAGCACCACCGAACCCCCGGCTGCTCATTTTTCTGGCTCAGTTACCCTGTTGAATACAATTTACGATGAATCAATACGCTCAAACGTCAGTGAACTTGAGCTCCGTGTCGGATCGAATACCAAAACAGTGTGGCATTTCCTCTTTGCTGGGTGGTCCGATTATGGCACTCCAGAGGGACCTGATAGGGATGCCCTCCTCAACCTTATGACAGACAGCCGAGAAAGCAAAGTCGTTTTCCAATCCTCGAATCGTACACTGTAGTGCTGGCGTGGGAAGGACCGGAACATTCATTGCTCTCGACCACCTACTTCGACAGCTACAGTCCGGACAACTCTTGAAAGCAGATGACAAGTCTGCAGATGCTGTTTTCAACACTGTCAATAGACTGCGGGAGCAGCGGATGCTGATGGTCTACAATGCATTTCAGTATCAATTCATCTATGATGTCTTGAAGGAGCAAACTCAGATTAAGTTGGGAATCCAGTCTGCTCCGATCGAGCCTCGTCCGCAAAAAATAGCGAAACCTGACGACGGAATGTTCAAGCCCGAACTGGTTGCTCTGAGTCCGGCGGATATCGGCTCTGCAGCTGAGCCTGACGACCCCGAAAGTGAAAATAATGAAGCCAAAGATGTGGGAAGGGACAAAGAAAGCAAGGGGGACAAGGAAAACAATGACAATCACGAAGCCGACGACGATGACGACGACGAAGACGAAGACGATGAAGACGATGAAAATGACAACGACAAAGCTGAAGATGAAGATGAAAGCTGATATCATGGATTTGCATCCCCTCTTTGGCCCATCATAGGTATAAACTGACCTCTCTTTCCACTTACATTCCTCCCACAAAGAACTTTTGCACGTTACGAAGCTACATTTTCTGTCTTCATATACCATGACTCCGACTGTTTTCTCTATTGGGGGCTTTAAACGGCTTTTCTTTCTTAAATAAATACCGCCTTGCTGTCTCTTATGCAGACTGTTTCTTCCTCACGATTTTATTATACCTTCTCCTACCTCTTTTCTCCCTCCCTTTTAAACCTGTTCTGTGTGTTCTACGATGGTCATGTTGCATAAGTAAATAGAATTCCTTGGTGCATGTATGGAGGAAAACAATACCCTCAATCGGTTTCATCTTTTTTTTTTCCCCTTTTGACTGGATATGATTTACATGCTTGCTCCAAAGGCCTTTTGGTTGTACAAACTTCAACAATCAAGCACTAAGTACACTTTCTTTTTAAACAAGCTATCAACAAACAACTAATCAGTTTGCTGTGGCGTCTTTCAAAAACGGCCTGAGTAAACTAGCAGCTGCGTTCTGGGCAGCTGCAAAACATCTGATCGGCGTTAGTTCTCGACGTGCTTATTCCATAGGGCTGAGCTGAAGTTATTTTTATTCCATTATTAAGTCCGATCAGTAAGTAATGTCACACATTAAGAGTAAGAGTACAGGCAAGGATAAAACATGAAACGGTAACAAAGACGTCGCTTGCTTTGGTACACCGGCTCCAAAAAAGAGAGAGAAAAAAAAAAAAATCCTAGTCCCATCCGAACAAGGCCCATAAATATCAGTAGAAAGTCATATAACATAGCCATAGCATGAGAGGAGGTTGGTTGGCTTTCGAGTAAGGCGCGGAAAGTGGGTTAACGGGGAGAATCAATTCTTGTGATCACTCTCTGCCGGCTTTCCCGCCCCGTTAGTCGAGGTTTTTCCACCGAGATCCCCAGTGGAATCATCACCAGACGCAGCAATGACTCCAGAATCTTCAACTTCATCTGCAGCATCCCAGTTATCTTCCGCATTCTCATCCCAGTTATCAACTTCCTCCTCGAGAGACTGCGCGTTCGTAACGCCAGTTTCTTGCTCCGAAGTGCCATTGGCTAAGCCAAGTTCGACATCCTCCTCTGTGTTCCCCAGCAGCGCACCAAACCGTGCCTTTCTCCTTCGTTCAAGCATCCTCTTGTGGTACCAGGTACATAGCCCTATGGCACCAAGACTCCCGACAACATTCGCTAGGATATCAAAGGGATCGAAGGAACGACCATTAGGCACGAGGGATTGCACTATCTCGGAACCTATTCCGAGTACCAGCGTGCAGACGATAAGTGTCAGATGAAGCGTTCTTCGGCGGGTAGTGTCTAGGATCCAGTAAAATGCGAGAGAGAGGAGGAAAAACGTTATTAGGTGTAGCACCTTATCGTTTATTTGCAAGGGTGATGGGGCCGGAGCTTCTCCTTCTTTCGGGGTGTTGCTGTGAGGTAGAAGGCCCACGTAGGCGGATAGTAGGAAGATGCCAGCAAACGCTCCTGTAGTTAAAACAGGTCAGCAACTATGACCGCAATTATCACAAAACCGAGAAGGAAAAGCAGCAGCGAAGGTAGAATCGCAAACCTACCAGCAAACGGGTATCTTATTCGGAGCATCGTCATTGTGTAGGAGTAAAGGAGTTGATTGCTATTCTTTGGCTCTAGGCAGCTCGGATGCCTGGGATAGTTAGTTCCCTGTTCCGAAGGGTCTATTCTTCTTCTCGGTCCAAGAGCAATGCCTGGTATCAGTCATTTAAAGGGAAGACAGCCTTGTCAGTCTTCTGCGGAATGTCGCAACCCGACATGAGCTGCTCGTCCGTAGGTAGTGTCTTTATCGCAGCTACAGCCTGTCGTCTCTTGCTGCCGCTTAGACTGTTTTGGCAATGGAAGACAGGACTGATTACGTAACTGGCGTGGCATGATTAAGTAATCCACGTGATATCCCTGGGCACATCAAGTTCGCGGCTCAAAAAAGATTGTCGATGCCAGCAACGGCTGTGCTGCAAGTAGAAAAGACTCGTTTTTGGCAGCTAGGTTAAGAGGGAAAGGACTTAATTTAAGAGTATTCAGAGGGCACCGGAATAACACCATTCCTGGAGCCATAGCGTGGCCATATCAAGCATCAGGCTTCTCGCCCGGCAAGTGTACGTGAAAGACTTTGTAGACTCTGCATACATAACTTGTAGACGGGCCCCTACACCATCAAGACAGAAGTACATCCTAAGCAATACCTTCTATTCTGCTGTCCTATGTTCTTTCCCGCCCCTTTCGCTTCCTCCATCTTCCCTCCCTTCTCAAGGCGCTCTCGTCTGTCCGCTCGAACGATGCCCGGACCGACTCACGTGACTGGCTGACTTCTACAAAGTCTGGGCAGCCTCCATCATGGGCACCTCCGCAAAAATCACCACCAAAAAGAGCTCCCTTGGGGCCATCAATATCTCACCACATTCATCTATTTTGTCATCCAGCTTGTTGCTGGAGCTGCTGTCGCCGCCAGACAGCCATCTTACATGCTTTTTTTCCGCGTCCCAACGCCTTGTTGTTGCTCGCTGAAACTGGCTTCAAAGCGTGGAGGGCCGAACCCTCTCGCCCGCCCGATATAGCGGGTTTGGCGCGGCCATGTCGCTGAATCACCACCACACCTGGCTTCCTCCAGGACATCTCAGGCCACCCGACGATTTATTTGACACGCATTCCTCCGTCAATGGTCTCTCCAGAACCCCTTCCCGCCCGCGTACGCCTCAGCTGCGGTCCCGTGCCACCTTGGAGTCCATGCCGAGCGGCATGTCGATATCAGAAATTGACCCTGCGCCCGAAGAAGACCCTCGCATAGTCGCATTCAGAAACAGCTACCAGGAAAGCGAGGCGAAAATAAATTATCTATTTAGCGGCAAACCGAAGATATCAGACTCCGGTTTGCCGAGCGCGGAGTCTCGTGATACCAACGCAGCGGAGGCGGGATCTGAATCCGCGCAACCAGCACCTCAAATTGCACCTCGGAAGCCGGCGAGGAATTTGGACGAAGATGATTATGATGAATACGATGATGAGGGTGGCAGTGACTCTGGCGGCCAAGGGCCGTCACCCCCAAAATCCAAAAGCGCGCCCACCCCCCCTGAACCAAAGCACGCGACTCAATCACCACCAAGGCTATCCTCTCAACCTGGTTCTGCCCCGGAGAACCCCAAAGACACGAAGAAGGAGTCAGCGGAGGATATCCGAAAACGATTGGAACAAGACAAAAAGGCCACCGAGGAGGCTGCCCGTCAGAGCTTCCATACCATATTCTACACCCTAGAGAATGACCGCGATGCGATGCTAGACCAGCAACGCCTGGAGGAGTCTGAAAGACAAGTTGAAGCTGAGATGTCCAGCCAAAATAATGCCAATAACGATTCCACTGCTGCTCAAGGCCCTGGACATGGAACGCTCAGCAGCGCCAATCTCGGCGCATCAAGTCTAACGCTGAAGAACCTTATTGCGCGAATTGACATGAAACGCCATGAAGTACAAGCTTCTGATGCTGAACTGAGAAGCTTGATGAGTGAGGTTCGGAAGAACAGAAGTAAATGGGCCAGCGAAGAGAAGATCGGACAAGAAGAACTCTATGAAGCCCTGGAAAAAGTTCTGAGTGAACTCAAAGCTCAGACAGAGCATTCCAGTGCATTTTTGACAAAGGTCAATCGACGAGATGCACCGGATTATGTTAACAGTAAGTTTAATTTACGCTTCTTGGATTTAGGGTAATTTATTAATATTCTTGTATAGTTATCAAACGACCTATGGATTTGGGAACCATGACTAAGAAGCTGAAGGCCATCCAATACAAATCGAAACAAGAGTTTGTTGATGATCTTAACCTCATCTGGGCAAACTGCTTGAAATACAATGCTAATCCTGAACATTTCCTGCGCAAGCATGCCCTCTACATGAGGAAGGAAACGGAAAAGCTTGTACCACTCATTCCAGATATCGTTATTAGAGACCGGGCAGAGGTTGAGGCTGAGGAACGAAGACTTCAACTTGCTGACCTTGATGGTGCGGAAGAGAGTGACGATGAACCCATCATGTCCTCTCGAGGGCGGAAGGCTCCGGGGAAGAAATCGAAGAAGGGCACATCAACGACACGGACTGCACCTGAGACTAAGTCAGAGACTACATCGGTAACTGATTCTCGACCTCAAGTTCAGGAACCCCCAATTGCCCGACAGGACTCTTTCTTAGAAGGAAGCCAAAACGATTCCTCAACACCACCCCCAGGTACTCTTACACCTTTGACCCAGAATAATAGTGGCCTTCCCGCAACTCAGGGTGATAGCATGGACATAGATTGCATTGGACCACCTCCTGCAGGTCAATGTGCTGCTCTGTTAGGCCTAGGTTCCGAGTTTGAAGATCCTGAGTTCAAGGTCTGGAAACTAGTGACAAAGAAGGATCGTGCTCTTGTCGCTGCTGAAAGACATAGACTCTTTAAAGGGGATAAAATTAATCCCGAGGAGCAAGCCCTCCTCAGAACAAAGCCTGGTATGAGAAGATGGATTCGAAATCGCAGAGCAACACCAGGTGAAACAGATAAGCCTGAGGCCGCTCCCTCACAGGAGAAAGCCGAGCCTAGTGGAGAGACTCTTGCTGAAGGGATTGAAGAAGAAGAAGATAAAATGCTTCCCGATTATTATGATGTGATGTCGGCTATTCCCGATCTTCCTGAGCACCTCCACTGGACCGAAGATGCTGAAGGGAATGTTGTAGAGCACTCGGAAGAGTTCCTTCGAGTCCTTCCTAGTGGGTTATTTACTGCTCCTGTGAGCAAATTTTCGAAAAAGTTGGATGCGAACGTGAGGCAAATGCAAGAAACTAGAAAAGCTTGCTCAAAAACCAGTATTGTTAAGCAAATGCAACAACAATCTCAGGTGAGGATTACTCCCATTTAACTCTATGCTCAGATTATGACAATTCTAACCTGGCCATCTAGATGTACCAAAACCAATTTCAAAAGTACCAACCTGAACGACTGGTTGAACAAGATATCGCACCTCATGTCATGAATGACGAGGGGCCGGTAATCAACCCTTGGGTCTGCAGAGCTGCACTTCAGCGATCTATTGGCAAAATTCTCTATCACACCGGTTTTGAAGAGTACCAACCCTCCGCTTTGGACGCTATTACGGACGTTGCATCGGACTTCTTCACCAAGATAGGACAAACCCTTAAATCCTATATGGAAGCCCCGAAAGTCCCTGTATCGGACAACTCGTCGGATACGACTGGAATATCAGAATGGAAGCTGCCATATACCTCCGAGGAAATGATTTTGCATACATTGCAGGCAGTTGGCACAGACGTGGACACATTAGAGACCTATGTAAAGGATGATATAGACCGCCATGGCGCTAAACTTGCTGTTATCCACGAAAGATTAAAGAACCATCTTACGGAATTATTGCGCCCTGCATTCGCTGACACGAGTGGTGACGGGTCTGGAGCTTTCAACGATGGAAGCGAACAATTTGTTGGTGGTGACTTTGCTGATGACATCGACGAAGATTTCTTTGGATTCAAGGAGCTTGGCTTGGACAAGGAATTTGGTCTCGCAAGCCTTAGCGTTCCTCTACATCTCCTTCAGAACAGGATGTTTAACGCTCATCAGGCTCAGAATGCAAAGTAAGCTGCTCCTTTATCAAATATATTTGACAAACTACTAATTTTGAACTCAACAGCTCTGCTCAATCCGCATCTGATCTATTCCCTACCCCACCGCAATACCCCAAAATTACTCTGGAGTCCATCCCATCGCAAATTGGTCTTGCGCGTAATTTCTTCTTGGCTAAACTCCACGCTAATAAAGATGAGCCCTTGGTTGAAGACTATGAGCTACCACCCAAACAACGACCGATGGCAGGACGACCTCGTGTCCCCGCATCTGGAAAGATTCCACCCCAGCCCTCGTTAGGTATCGGATCCAGCCCTCAGAAGCGCCCAGCACCCCCTTCCACTGCTATCACCACCAAAGGCATGGTTCTCGAGCCCAGCAAGAAGAAGATTAAGAAGAGCACGGGCGCTCCAACTGGAACGTTTGGGTCTGAGGGAGCGACTGAAGATTCGGCCCTGACCACCACGCCTAACAGCAAAGGGGTTGGGGTCGTGAAAACAAAACCAACGGACGGATCGAACGGCCATGTTGGCATGAATGGGAGTGCTAATGATACCAATGGCGTTGCCTCTGAGCCAATAGGGAGCCAGCCCTTGAAAGGAAGTGCGTGAGGCTCTGGTGAGATTATACCCTGACGTTGATTGACAGTGTATGTTTGCAATAAATTGGGAATTTCCTCTGGAACCACAGGTCTATGATGGGATCCGAAAAGCCACAGTAACACCTTTCCCCATTACCTTTCTCCTTCGTTCATTTCTTGAGTCCAAACTTGCCCTTGCAATCTTATTGATTGTGGGTGTTAAAATGATTCTCGCCCCCACTCATATATGTTGACCACTTACCTTCTTCTCTCTGTATTCTTCCTGACTCCATTTTCTATCTCCTTTTTGCATCTTTCGCATTGCTCAGGTGACATCCGGAATAACCGATTCTGGCGTTTCTATGCCAATTATGACATTTATTTCTGTCTTTGCTGGTCTTGGGGTTGCTGGCCGTGGTGTTTTGATTACTAGTACATGCTATAGCTCATGTTTTCCCTATCCCGTGTGTTATCGTGCTTTCACGTGTGTTGATGCGTTTATTGAATGATTCTTACTATACCTGGCCGGTTGATCGCATGGCGGTATCCTTCGATTTACACCTACCCCTTAATTTTTGGCATCCAGTTTGTTTCTCTGCCCATTCATTATTCTGTTTAATAGACGGGATGATACTCAAAGGCCTCCTTTAGTTTATCTATCCTTTTGATACCATTCAAATTACCATTGAAAGGCCACTGTACAATGTTAGTCAACTGAGTTAATCATGACCACTTCTTGTCCCGATCATTCTCGATGATTTTCTGTTTCTTGGATTTGATGAAAGTCGTCTTCGGCTTCATATACTCTGGGATCGGTTATTATCATTGTGTTTGTAGTTTTCAGGTAACTAATATATTAAAGATTACTAAAAACCACCAGTCTCGAATCCCTTGACGACAACGGTAATGATGCTAAGGCCCCAGGATGAGCATACGACTGCCTAGCCGAATTGAACCCCCAATCACTCATTTCTCTTTGCCGCCATTTCGGCCGTCATTCTCAACGTGGTTGGCGCATCTTCTTGTGGAGTGTGAAGTTCAACGATCTAAATGAAAAGAGATAGCCATGTTAGCAATTCCAATGTTCTAATCTAGAATTGAGCGCATAAGGAGGATTTACTTGGAGACGCTTTGCAGAGCAAAACTCCTTGTTGGAGAACAAGTCAAGGAGTTCCTGCCTCTCTCGAATTTGATATGTTGCAAATTTGTCAGGCTGGGCTCCAAATGCAGACGGGAATTCTCCAAATTTCCACTCTTGAATATCATTATAAGTCGCTTTCCATCCATGGATGTACCTTTCCACGGTATACCCATTATTACAAATAACGAATCTGGGACCACCGTTAGCTGAGTCCTCTGAGTAAAGATTGAAAGGAGGATACGGTATTTGTTGGTTTTTGGGGGGTTACATTATTGGAGTTAATCCATTTCTGATCATTGTGCTTATCTCTTGAACAGTAAGCTGAAAGCTACCGTCTCCAATAAATAAGATAGTACGGCGTGGCGTCTTCTCCTTGGTTGCGAGAGCGGCTCCCTGACAGGCTCCGAGGGAATAGCCTATGCTGCCCCAGAGAACTTGACTTATGGCGGTTACTCCCTTAGGGAATCTTGTACCCCAGATGCCAAAGCTTGAGGTTCCTGTTTCTGTAATGACAATGTCATTCTCTTGCAGCCAATTACCCACATTTGGCCATAGCCAGGAGTGAGTAATAGCTGGGGCTGGAAATTGAGGGCTCTCTTCTGGCACATTCTCCTGCTTTGGAGGAGCAGTAATATTCAGTTTACCCATGCGATTGATGACTTTACGGAGGACCCCCTTCATCCGGACACCAGGGTACTCCGAGTACCGAACAACAATGTAGTTACTGTGGAAGTCAATTGTGTTTAGACGACTGACTCTGTAGGTGAACCCTGTGGTATTAAAATCTGATTTGATTCCTCCGATGCTCAAAATCAAGTCAGAAGCTTCGATATGCTCCCGAACTTGGGCAGTGGAGCCATCTCCGGCATAAACTCCGCCATAATTGGGAAGAGTTTCATCAACTGCCCCTTTACCCATGGGAGCAACAAATGTGGGAAGGCCTGATTTTGATACCAGGTCGTGGATTTCGTCTAAAACCTTGTGACGAATGGCACATGCATCAACAATGATAGCCGGCCGTTTTGCAGCATGCAGGTATTTCAGTACAGTATCAACCACGTAGTCTTCCTTTTCCTGGTCGTTATCGGGAAGTCGCAGGTCTATTGGAGTTTTCAAGCGCTTCCCCTCGATCTTCTGCTTGACCATATCAACAGGCAGAGTAATGTACACTGGTCGGCTGCGGACCCAGCATTCCTTTAGGGTACTATCAATGTACGCGGCAGCATCACGGGGATCATTCAGCTTTGCCACTGAGCAGGAAATTCCGGCACTCATATTGGCAAAGACATTAAAATCACCATTTCCCAAGGTATGGTGAAGAAGCATTCCATCTCTTTGTGAGGCTGTGCTCGGTTGGCCAACAATATGCACTATGGGGACATATTCAGAATATGCTCCAGCAATGGCATCGAGAGCCGAGAGTTCTCCCACTCCAAATGTTGTAAACAATGCCGAGATCCCATTGATGCGTGCATAGCCATCGGCAGCATATCCTATTCTGCTCTTAGCATTATATCCAAAGGCAAATAACAAAACTTATCGACTGTACCGGCATTCAATTCGTTACAATTCCCTACCCAATGCAAGCCGCATTTCGGAATGTAGTCTAGAGCTCCTAAGTTATAATCTCCTAAACGCTCATGCCAATTAGAGCCTGAGACACGAGAGATTCAGTACCTAGGAGGTCTCAATAAATATAAACTTACCGGGGACCCCATGGATGGATTTAATTCCCATCTGACGCAGTCGCTGGAAGAGATACTCCGCTACATCGATGGGCTCTTCAAGCTCTCTGGTGACGATATCTGAAGCCATGATTGTCAAATATACTGGCTAAATGAAATATGCTTGATTCAGAATGTTACAGGAGTAGCAGCAAAGTTATATTAAAAGACAACATTCAGCTTATATATTTTATCAAGGAAAATATCTTGCAGCAAATCTTCCCTGGCAATTGCGTCCTACTTGCTTTCCATATCAGCTCTGAGCAACCTATGACGTCACAGCCATGTCGGTAAAAATATTATCCTCTCCGAATCTTATCTTATCAGCCCGTCTCACAATTCATTAGTTATGTAAGCAAGGACTTCCTTTTGGTAAACCTTTCATAATAACATTTTGGTTACACCTCCCACCTCAGTCAGCGATAACAGCGGCCAGCCACAGTCATGGCCGACACGGGAGGTAAAAGAAAAGCAAGCGATCCCAGCGCTCGTGAAAAGAAGAGACAAAAAGTAGGTTCTTACCGGGTGAAAAGCCCAATTAGTACTAAACCTGGCGAGGGTCATCCTCGGATTTTATAGCTAGGGAGCTAATTGAATACTGTGTTGACACGCGTCTTAGGGCCAGTGGAAAGGCCATGACAAGCGAAAAATTAATTCGAAAGGAAAGCTAGCGAGCGGTGATTCTGGAATATTTGTTAGCTGTGATAGAGGTCGGGAGGGAAAATGTTCCGCTGAGATCCTAGATCTCCTTTCACAGGTCTGTCAGCAGTCCCTCTCTGCTTCGATTACCCAGCTATTCTCTTAGCAATTGGACTGATAAGAAACCATAGGAAGTACCAGAAGCTGCCGCGGATCAAAAGGATGACGGCACAGGCGATGAAAATGAGAACGAAGATGTCGATATCGAGGAACAGATAAAGCGGGAGGTGGAGCAGATGCAGCCTAAGCGATCGAAAGCACCGTTTCAGCTCATAAACCTGGACGTCCCGTGTCGTAAGCTGTCTAGAGTGCGGATTATTTTTGCATTGCGCTGAATCCCTGACCTAAGAGCATGGCAGTTATATTCGTGAAAACCAGCGGTACCTTGAATCCGGTAGATATTGTGCATCGCCTATGCATTGATGCCCGGGCACATCCGGAACAGAAGAGAAGCCGTTGGGTTAAACGATTAACCCCAATTACATCAATGAAGAAGATTCTCGGCGGCGGGCTGGAGGAGCTGGCTCGTGATGTACTGAGGCCGCATTTCCATTCTGGCGGCCCTCCCAGAAAGGTATGATACTTTCTCTGGTTTTTCAAGCAAGTTCCGGACATTATTACTAACTGGTGGCGCGCTATGTAGTACGCTATTCGACCAACCATTAGAAACAACACGGATTGCCAGAGGGACTCGGTCATCAAACTCATTGCTAGTATTGTTGGGGGTGAACATTCAGTGGACTTGAAGAACTATGACTTGTTAATTCTTGTCGATGTTATCCAGGTAGGTGCATCCTACCCCTAAACATGATTCTTGTGCCAGTGTACCTCCGCGGAAATGGCTGACCACAATTACGCCAGACTATGTGTGGCATGAGTGTGGTTGAGGGTGATTATGACGAATTAAAGCGTTACAACCTCTCTGAAATATATTCTCCCACGCCACGGCCGGAAGTAAAGCCGGAGAAGGAACCAGGAGGAGACGAGAAAGTACAAAAAGAGCAAAAGGAAGCTTAACTGGGCGAAGTGGGATTTTTTCAAAAATGGGGTTGAAAAATAAAATACACGAACAAAAGATAAAAAAGATAACCCTGGCATCATTTTGTTCTTCGCCAAATGATCACCTACGGTTGGAAGACCCCGTCACCGCTTGCCATCCGTGACTCGCCTGTCGAACCCAAGATGGAACGCCAGAGATGTTGCACTAGGACCAGGGAGAACGCATTGACCGCCAATTGAAAACGCCTTGGGGGGGCCTCTTAATACATAGCATGATGACCACGATGTGGACAACATACATGACCCGGTTTATATTATTATGAACTGGCGCAAATTAAGAGAAACGAAAAATGCTCGGTAATCTCGGGCGTTCTCGAGCCGACTCTGCTTGACCAAGTCTTCCCGTCCGACTACAGTGTAAACACGAGATCTGACGTTAATTATTCGCTTCGCATTGTCCGCAGGCTCTCGCTTTGCAACCAACCCCCTTTTGCGGGTGAATCTGGCAGAGAGACGCACTTTTGGGGGTCTGATAGATAACTAGGCGATTGGCTCCCTTCCGCGCCAAGAATCGACAGACGACGGTCGAAGCTGAGCCATGACGACGAAGGGAAGAAAGAAGCAAAAAGGAGACGAAGGAAAGCAAGCTCGGGATGGATGGATGCGATCCACCTTGCGTTGCATTTGGGTTTTAAGGATTTCCGAATCTGAAATCTCGCCAAATGCGCGGCTCTCATTGGTGCGACGCGGCGCATAATCGACAGCGTCCCCGTTTCACCTCTAAACATGCATCGAGCATTATTACTGAACACAGCAAAATCTGGCGAGGTTACTTTCGACAGGCTTACTCCAACCTTCCAACGGCACATCCTCGAGTGTGCGGATACCATAGAGGTCAAGGACACTTCCCGCCCAAGCCCGTTCCTGCGGCGTTCCCCCAGGGTGTGACCCGGCAAGATGCAAACACGAGTCTATCATCATTTGAATACTCAGCAGGCTGGCCAAGTGGCTTCCGTTCGTTCGGCCGGGACCGCTGGCTGTGATGAAACTTGGGTGAACTTGGTATTTACCAGGCTGCACAATGTCNACTTTTTTTTTTTTTTTTTTTTTTTTCCCGCTCATCCTTTTTCACTGGCGCAGCTGCTTACCAGTATACGACCAAAGACGCAATGGGAGGGTGGCCTGGAATATACCCCTACCAACCATCCATATATCGAACCCTGTGGATGCTTGGGGCATTAGTCCGATGATCAAAAGCATAATTTACCAGACTTGTGGCGCTTGAATTTGGCACAAGCGACTCCCTTAACGTTAAATCTGTCTATCGTGCTCTATCCATTTTTCATGGCGGTAGCTCTTAGCGTCTCAAAGGCCCGTTTTATATAGGTAGGGAAGGCTGCAGCAAATTGCTAGACCATGATGAAGGGTTGCACTTTTTCGACTTCAGTGAGGAACCAAAACATATATATATACAGTTTCTTATATACACACAATGACTGCCTTCGGCTTCACCCCTAAGAGTCGTATCTCTCCATGCATTGGCCAGGATTCCCGACGTGGTCATCATAACTTGTCAAATATGCAACGGCAATGCAGTACTCCCCCATACCGTTATGTTATGCATATTTCTACTACAACGATGGTCTCGGTTGGTTTCTCTGGGAAGGTGCCTCGCAATAATAAAAACACTCCTTCTATTGATGGGTTTATTCAACCCCTTTTCCCCAACCAGAAAGTTTTGGACATACAAACCTATGACGAAGATCCGCATCCACACTATCTCCTACATATGTCTGGAGGAACTGAGCTCGCATTGAAAACATCGACACGCCAACCAGAAACTGTTCTATACCATGAACGGCATGCTCTCGAAGTCGAGGCTCACGTCTTATTGTTACTTGAACCGAGCGGGATATGGTGCATCCCAAAGCTTATTCGATGTGAGGTAGTCCCGTCATCTCCAGAAGTAACATGTCTTTTACGTTACAAGTGTCCTGGCACGCCTCTTTCGGAAATCAAAGAAAAGTTGACGTCGGAGGAGCTGAAACGAATTGACAAGCAACTCGGTATTACTGTCGATCGAATTGGACAACATACCGCTACGAAATTCGGTCCCGTCTATGATATATGCATGGGAAGAGGAGAACGGACTTGGAAACAAGCGTTCCTTAATCTCCTTGAATCACTTTTATGGAATGCTGAAAATATGCTTATTTCATTACCGTATTTTGAGATTCGTCATCAAGCAAGTCGTTTGTCTGCGGTGTTTGATGATGTTACGGAACCACGATTGATTTTGCATAATATCAGTCAGCCTTCCCATATCATTATCGACCCTGAGACTAAAGATATCAGCGGTATTATCGATTTCACTGCTGCGACATGGGGTGATGTTCTTATGACCGACATATTTGAAAACCCTTCCCTCGAACTCATCAGTGGGTACGGGTCTGACCCTACACGGAATGGGTTCGCACCTATCCGTTTACTCTTGTAAGTGGCTTTCGCTGACAAAACATTCCATTTCATCAAAGCTAATGGTACTGTAACCCTTAGCTATTCCTGCTACCGCAATGTTCTCAAAATAGTGAAGCAATACTATCGGAACCAGCCTCATGAGGAGGAGCTTCGAGTCCGAAAGAATTTGATGTCGGACCTTGCCTCTATAGCAGAGTATACCCCATGATACTCTTTCTTTCTGTTTTCCATCTTCATCGCGCTTTGTATTGGAATACATGGAGCAACTCTGTTGGATTCCAGTCGCCTAAGGCTACTGCTACGGTGTATAATAGAAGGAACATATTGGAGCTGGGAAAAATGGGCTTTGGGATGGATTTGGAGAGGCGTTCGCTCGGGATTTGGATTCCGACCCCTTCCGCTAACAAGAAAGGCGATATAAAAAGGAAAGCCGCAAGATGACTATCCAAGCACTTCTTGTGTTTTCTCATGTTTTTGTTTTATACTGTGTCGACAAATAACTAGCGGTTATCGAAGTGAGGTCCATGCATGCCCTTTCACGTGCATTTAACTCTCTAGTTGGTGAGCTTATTTAATTGACGTCAGCCGCCAAGAGCGCGAGCCAGAAACGCCTTTTGCTTCTAATCGCGAACCACTTCGCTTTATCTTGGTTGCTGGCGATTTAAGAATAAAACCATCCCAGTGTCAGAGTACGTACGCTCGTTAACGCGTTGGTTATAGAGATGGCCCATTTTTTACGAGGAAAGCAGGCTGGCATTCAGAGTGATCTCTCCGGGAGCCTCTCGCCAGAAAGCTTCCTCATAGACGAGGTGAGTCCGTCGAGTTTGAGAGGCCTGGATGCACGCCAGCCACCTCTATGAGTGCTGCGTAATGTGAACTAACTCGGCACTCTATCAGGTGGCTCGTTATGGCATAAATTCCCGAATCAGCGCCATAGCGTATGACCCCGTTCAATCGTTACTCGCTGCCGGCACAAGCGAGACGCAGTTCGGGAGCGGGGAGATTTATGTGTTTGGACAAGAGCGAGTCTCTGCCGTTTTTTCCCTCCCTCGCAAAGCGTCAACGAGTATTCTTCAATTCTGCGGAGATAAGCTACTCGCCGTTGCGAAGAATGAGCTATACGTCTTCTCGCTTGATGAGAGAAAGCTCGTCACTTCGTATGCGCCGCCTGGGCATGCTACGTGCGTGCTTACAGACCCAGCCCTAGACTATGCATTTATCGGGCTACAGAACGGTTGGTTATGGCTATTGTTTCCATGTGCTGCTATTTCTAGCTTTCCCTAGCTGATCTTTTATCGGCGATAGGCGAACTTGTCACATATGACCTCGACCGGCATATGGTAGCTCCATTCAAAGTGTCGAATTTATGGAAAGAGAGAAATTCGAGGGCCAGGTTCCTCCCCATAGTATCCCTTGCTTTTCATCCAAAGGATATAGGGACTCTACTGATCGGATACTCGGACGGAGCTGTGATATTTTCTATCAAACAGAATGTCCCTGTTAAGTACTTCCAGTATGAGGTACCCAAGGGCGCTCCGGGTGGTGATTCAGACCCCTCCTCAGCTCGTGAGACGAGGTGGCCTAAAGTTGTCAAGGCACTCTGGCACCCAACTGCCACTTTTGTTTTAACTGCGCACGAAGATTCATCTCTTGTGTTTTGGGACCCGAAAGATGGGCGTGTCGTTATGGCTAGAACGATACAGGCAATAGATGTGAATAAACCAGGCGAACTCGCATCTACATCTGGCTCAACTCCTGGTACTTTCTCACTAAAGGCACCTATTTTTGAAATTGCATGGTGTTGCAAAGAAAACCCGGATGATACGGGACTACTAATAGCTGGCGGAACACCTACCACTGAGATGACAAAAGGGCTCACGTTTATTGATCTCGGGATTACTCCAAACTACCAAACTTCTTCCTGGCAAGTCCTGTCTGGTCATTTCTCATCTTTAAAGCGTCAGTCAACATTACCGACTCCGCCAAATGCAGAAGTAGCCCAATTTTGCCTAATTCCCCGAGCATCACCCCATTTCGGGGGTGCTCAAGATCCTATTGCAGTTATTGCTCTTCTATCATCCGGGGAACTAGTTACTCTAAGCTTTCCAAGCGGATACCCCATAACTCCTACCAATGTTTTCCCTCCCTCTTTAACAATGGTCCACCCATTTGCTACCAAATTTGATCTTGCTTGCATCGACAGGACAAGATGGCTTGGTTGGCGAGAGAAGAGAGCACAAGGACCACCCCTTCTTATCGGAGGAGCAGCAGCAAAAAAGGCACTGAAACGGTTTGAAACCCGAGATATTGCTATTGTTGCACATGCAGATGGTCTCATACGTCTTTGGGATATTGGACATGACGACCAGATAGAGAATCCAACGGTTCTTCAAGTGGATCTGGCTCGCGCAGTTGGGAGGTATGATAAAATTGAGACCACCCAGATGTCGTTTTCTGGTGCCGCAGGCGAACTTTCTGTTGGCCTCCAAAGCGGAGAGTTAGTGGTTTTTAAATGGGGTCGGAATGAAAATGCTGGCCGAGATGTGCCCCTTGGGGAGAATAATGGGCCAGACCAGATTACTAGCATATCTCACAGAGGTGACCCTGGACTGAAGGAAGGGCTACTCCCTCTTGCACTGCTAGACCAAAGCCAGGGACCAATTACCGTTCTCAAGCACAGTGATGTAGGATTCATCTGTGTTGGATATAAGTCTGGAAGCATTGCATTTCTTGACTTACGCGGCCCAGCTGTGATATACTCAGCGAACTTGACAGATTTCGCAGCCAAACAGTCACGGAGAAGCAGCTGGAAAAGCCATTCTTCAATGGAAAAAGGGGCAGATTGGCCAACTTGCGCTGAATTTGGTGTTTTAAGAATTGAAGATGACAGTGAGTCCTAATCTCAGTTAGTCTTCCCTCATTTCCCAGATATCTCTTGCTGATTATACCCAGGTTACTCAAGTATCAGCTGCTTCGTTGGCACCAACAACGGTCACTTAGCTACATTTAAAATCCTTCCTTCATCTGGCGCAACGTATACCGTGTCTTTTGTTGGGTCGTGTAGTTTGGATGACAGGGTGCTATCCATTTGCCCTATTAACGCGGAGACTGGAGCTCAGACACTAGCTACACAGGAAGCCGTCTCAGACTTACGAAATGGAGGTAGGGTCAATGGAGTGATTGTCGCGGTCACACCTTCTGGTTGTCGTATCTTCAAACCCTCTACTTCTAAAGGCGCCCATAAGAATTGGGATGACTTCATGTGTGATGCTGCCTCTGTGGTTCACTCGCCTGGGGGATGCAGTCTGGTAGGCTTATTTGGTGATGGGAAAGCTAGAGCGTACTCCATACCAGCCTTAAAGGAGATTGGCTCTATAAGTATTGGAAAGATACTTGAAACTAGAAGGTTGGGCGATGCTCGGATATCACCATCCGGAGATATTCTTGCATGGACTGGACCATCTGAAATGGCTATGCTTCATGTTTGGGGTGTCGGCAGCCCGTTGTACGTGGACATGGAGTTGTTGTCTCCCTCTAATATGAACACCAAACTGACAAAATACCCTCTCATATAGGCTCCGGTCAGCAGACAGGCTCTTTAACCCCGAAGCAATCGCGCCACCTCGCCCAACTATATCCAATCTACAATGGATATCCGGGACACAATTTGTATCAACCGCAGATGTGGATTTATTGGGTAAGTTGTTAGCCTCGATAAACCAAAGCCATCCGTGTCAGTACCTGGTTTAACGCAAATCTACTTGTAGTTGGAGGACCGAACCGCCCTCCCTCTAAGCGCATGCTCGAGCAAATGCGTCTCGAAGAGCAAGAGCGTCAAAGGGCAGAGCGTGAAGGGCGCCTTCCCAGAACCAACACCTCTAACTCACAGGGCTCACAAGAGTCATATTGGGCATATATGCAAAGACAAATGCAGGAAAGAACTGAAAATTTAAACATTATGGGCGATAGCATGGATCGCCTTGGAGAGAACAGCAGCGGCCTAGCAGATGACGTTAACAAGTTTGTCAGGAACCAAAAGAAGAAGGCAGTTCTGGGAGGTAAGTTAATATCTCCCTGTTTTACGAAGATATGCTAAAAACTGGCATGAATGCTAATATTAAATCCTTCAGCGCTTGGCTCGAAATTCGGGTTCTGATACTATCAGGACACATGCCTCAAGGAAGTAAAATCGATGGCATGTGCCTCTCTTCTTGGAATCCCACACCTTGTACTTCTTCTACTTACCTCCTCATCCGGGAGGGAGTTTCCCCTCTCTTTTCTGTCACTCACGAATTTATTGATGATATATAATCTTAGAGAAGGGGCCGAAGTTAGGTTTCATCCACGCCGATTTAGGGCAATGATGGGCTCTTTGAAGCCTAAGTTCGTTTCAATAGTACTTTTAACTATACTCGCAGATAATGTATTTTTACGCGTGAACAGGCAAACAAAAACGGTATGTCTACTAGACCTTAAGGGGTCCCATTTCCCTTCCACGCAAACGATGTCACAGATACGGATATACTTAGGAAGAAATGGATCTCATGACTATAAACAAAACTCGAGTTTATCATATGGAGTGCTCCATACAACCCCCATTTATACTTATGAAGTGGCGGTAAGAACTTACAAGAAAGAGCATTCTTGTGTTTACTATATGCATCTCCTCCCCCACAAGATCCTTGTTCCTAATGGCTCTCTGTTATCAATGGCTCAAAGGATGAACCATGGACACTTTCCGCCCCCCCGCCCTCATCCCCGACGCCCGGAAGAAGTCGATCTTTGGGTTCACGATAGATTGCTCTCCATAGAGCCATCATCTTGGCAGCACAAACCAACTTCTAAATACACTATCGATTCTTCCCCGAGTGGTCCATCAGCAGAAGGAGAAGCAGCAGCATCGCCATCGTTGCCATCACTGCAAGCGGTAAAAGCAAGGCACTCCTGATGAAATTAAGTGGTTTCAAGGGGAGTTCAGTCCACGGAGCTGGGATTACCCGTAACCCCAAACGTGTAATAGAAGTTGATCCCTTCATTCTGGTTACTGAGGCTCCTATTTGATCTGTGACCTGTCAAAAGCGACTGCACAGCACGATCTCCCGCTAGTGTCGAGGCCGGATGCACAGTACGTACGTACGGGTATTATGTAGGGGTATGTATGTCATAGGCACATGTACATACGAGCTTATATATTCCATGCTATGCATGCTTCGACTAGACTGTGGCCTGGAGGCAGACTCGGGCCGTTTCCTGCGCGTGGGAGCCCATCAAGGGAGGACAATGCCTTGACTGCTCCTTGGTTGGTGGTTGACTCGTACGTCATCATAGAGACCGTTGGAAGGGCACATCGGCCAGAATCTACACGAGGGTACTCTGCGCCAATGCACGTACCTACGAAGGGTAAGATACCAACTTCTTGCAGCTTGCATATACTTGACTATGGCGAACCGATGGTGCCATGCGCAGCGCCGGGGCAGGACGACCGCCAGCAATCTGTATAAAACATGGCCGAGGAAGTTGTTCCGGCCACCTGCAGTCGGGTGTGTGGCTTCTCGCCTTCTCACTCTCTCTCTGCATCGTTGCTGTCACCATCTCTCCCGCTCCATGCTTTCTTTTCTTTGCTTTGCTCCATCTCGTTGCCGTCCACTTCGTCCACCTCGTCCACGTCGCCGTCCAAGCCGAAAGTTCGAATGTTGACGTCGGCGAGGGAGGCCGATGATGACTAAGCGACTCGCCCGAGAATGTCGACGAAGCAGGAAAATCCAACAACAGCAAAAAAACAAGCAGAGCAACGCAACGCAACGCAACGCAGACTCCGCAGGTCAAGGGGAAATCCAGTACAGGCTGGGATCCCGGGCAGTGCATACATACAAGAAGAAAAGAACCTCGTTCAGGGAGGGAGAGATACGCGCACCCATGGAATAGTGGCGTTTCCTTCCAACATTTTTTTTCGGGAAGCCAAAGACCTGGGTGGTGGATGGGGTCACTAACTAACCAACTAAACGATGCAGGCCAGATCAATAGATCGAAGACGTCCCTTGTCTGGACGGCTTCTGGACGGCAGAGCTGATCTAGACAAAGGAGATGAGGAAGGATGAAGAAGACGGAGACGAAGCAAGCAGCATGGCCGCCACGAACCCCTCGAAGCGAGGCTCACAGTTCTTCGCGCAGCACCAAGAGATGTAGGAACAACATGGGGGTGCGCTTGGCCTTGCGTTTGAGATAGAAAGAACCTGTCACTCTGTGATGACTTGGCCTGGCGTTTCCCCCCCTTCTCAGACGCAGTCATGATTCTCTGTCTGTCTCGTGAAATCTTGGGTGTTTTTTTTGCGCATCATCCTGAGAAGTGATGCTGACTGATAGCCTATTCCCGGCTCCGAGCTTTTGGGGATCGAGGCTATGGGGGGATCTCATCAACGCAGCCGGCACTAGACTTCGACTAGCCGACTAGTGTCCCTTCGTGGATTTTTCTAGCCTCGATATGTCAAAGGTGGAATTGATTCTCTTTGGTCGAAAAGCAAGCTTGTTTCTGGATCTTGACCAGAAAGGCTTGATCGATGCCAGCGGATAACGATTCCGGAAGGTCGGTGGATGTCCTAAGTACCGTGATGCCTGGCGATGGCTTGCTTTGCCCAGATAATCTACCCTTGCCGCGAGCGAAGCACCACCACAACCGCCCTCTCGAAAAGAAAAGAAAAGAAAAGAAAAGGAAAAAAAAAAGATCACTGACAGTAACAGAGTGACAGACACTGACAGAGCAGAGAAGCAACAGAAGAAGAAACGAGAAGAAGCAGCCCGAGTTTCCCGATGGGAAAAGTCATGATCCGATTGGATTACGGATAGAAGATGCATTAATACGCCTGCTACGGCTATGCTATAGTTCTCTATTGATACATATACATAATGCGTTGACGGGGGTCTTCCCGGCTGACCTTGCGAAGGAAGCCTCAGGAGGTATGGAGTATAAACGTACGAGGCCGTTATCCGTTACCTATCCCCAACATCGGCTTAAAAAGATAAAATTCTCAGTACTTATCCGTACAAGGCGAAGAAGGACGCTTAGACTTAAAGTCCTTGAGTTCCCGATGAAACGGGTTACTACTTGGTACATCTCGTACTTTTTTCCCAACGCTGATGGATCAACCAAGGGGGATCATCGATTTTGAGTGATTTTCCCAGACTTGGTTCCCCCGGATAATTTCCAGACTAACTATCATATTAGGCTTTTTTCTGGAATTCGTCCATACATATGGGAAGAAAGGCTAAGGGGGGCCAACAAAAAGGGAGGAGACCGAGTGCCTGACTTCTCCCCCACAACCCCCTGGCTTGCAAGGACACAGCCAACGAAATGTTGTTCATTGTCCAACCTGCGCAAACCGAATGGAAAAGGGAGGCTCTGGGGGATGGTCAATGTATAGTCCATTACGGAGTATGCTTGGCCATGATGCTCGTACAGGAGGCTTTCTGGGGGGCATTCACGTATTTTTGCGGAGAAAGAGAAGGCAGATGAAGCGGCTAATCGTGCCACCTTTCTCGAAGCGAGGTGCCGAAGGCCATCACTGCCTATATACATCCAGACTCGGCTCTTTTCAATGAACTTGTGGCTATGGCCAGATGCTTTAAAAATTTCCACCTTCCCGCTTCAGGGCGCAAGCATCCATCCTACTTAGTGGACAGCGGGAAGATAAATGATGGCGTAAAGAGGGAGAGACAAGAAGCACCTATCATCAACCCCATGACTGGCCAGCAGCTCCTTTCCACCCTAAACTAAACCTTCGTTTGCCCTGCCGCTGCCACATATCACGGCCGCCTCTTGTGTCCACTTGGGGTTCAGTTGAAAAAAAAAAAAGGAGAGAGAGAGAGAGAGAGAAAGAAAAAGAAAAGAAAAGGAAACGAAA